GTATTAAATACCATTCGACAGCACAATTTATTTTATCCAATATTTTTATTTTACTATAAAATTTTTAATAAGTTTACCAAAATAACAAAGAAAAAACGAAGTGCCAATGAATCTGATTTTCAGATAGTAAAAAAAAATGTCTCTTTCACATCAACTGAATTACTTAAATCCAAATTTAAAATAAAAGGTAGATCAGCGTAAGTTTTTTTGAAGATTTTCATTAACCGTTCAAATTGAATAATGTTAAAAATTTATTTTCAGAACTTAAATTATACAAAAAAAAGACTAGTAGAGTTGACTATATAGGACGAAGCTTCCATGATTTTGAAGAAAGCATTAGAAATAGTTGATAAAACTTCCATAGTAATAATAAAGTTTGAAATTACATGAAAGGAAATACAGTTACTTATTGCAGTATTAACAAGGCCACTTTATAAGAAAGTCAATAAATCTGACGATGATATTTATATCAATTTTCAGAAGAAAGTTTTAAATAACATTAGAGATTCTCCTTTTTATGAACTTAATTTAACAGTAAAAGAGATCCTTATGATAATAAAAAGTAAAAGTATGACTGATGGAAAAGTTGAAACCAAAGTTGTTATACCTTGAATCACATTATGATTTTGAAGAAATTCTCTTTTATTATTTGATATTCATGGAAGACAGTTTTCCATAATGTCAGCACTTTTAATGATCATAAATACATCTCAAGGACAAAATTTAAAAAAAATTAGTATTTACTGTAACAAACCGTTATTTTCGCATGGACAATTATATGTAGCATTGTCCGGATACGTAAGTCTAAATAATATATTTATTTAGTTACAGTCACACAATAAAACTATTGAAATATTGTTTGAGAAAAAATTCAACGATATGACAATTAAATATTCACTTGATTCAATGTAAAATTTCATTTAAGACATTTAAATTCATGGAAGAAACAGTGGAGTACGCCTATTTTTCTCGGTATCAATAAAGTACCATGAATAAAGCAAGGCCAGTAAATTTCCTTATACACACACACACATACATATACGCACACCCCCCCTCATACACACAAAGAATTACAAATAATAAAAAAATTTAAGTTTTTAAATTAAGAGGGGCAAGGGGGTGGAACAGGGCCGAAAAATCTTAGAAAAGTTGTTTTTGACGTGAAATATAAGAAAGAACGATTGCACTTTGAAGGGGGACGGAGGGATGATGTGGGAATGGTTGATCTCGTAGCAAAATTGCCTAGTTTCTTCCTATCGTTCTCCCAGAAATAGGAGGTCATCCATCCCTCTTTCCTTTCTTCTCCCAAGTGCTAAATACCCAGAGTAGTGCTCCATTTATGGACTAGGTGTATAGCACTATAATATATTTTTAAAAAACCATATAAATATATATCTTTATACAAGGTGACTTATGAGGACTTTACGTGCTTTTAGAATATATACTAAGAACATTGAAAAGTTATGAGGACAGTCAGCATAAGTACGATTTTGTCCTCATAATAACCTTTTTTACATAATAATGTCCGCATAAGTCACCATTTATAAACATATATTTGTATATTTGGATATATATGTGTATATATACAACTATATAAATCTCCGCTTTTCTCCACGCTTTGCGCGCCATCCCCTTCACATAAGATGAGTGTCAATTGTATGCAAATGTAAAATTTTACATAATTCACATAATCGATATTGTACGTATGAGATGAAACCATCCATGTGTAACTTGAATATAATACTAGTAAGTACAATTTATAAAATTAAATTATTGAAACTTCGATGTACATTGTACAACACAAATTTATCCATCGAAAATAACCTTAGAAATTATAAATTGTTGTTCTCTTAATGTGAAGCATCTGTTAATTAACAATAAATAATTTTGTATAATTTTGAAAGCTCTGAAGATTAAATGAAAAATTTTATTTTGAAATATTTAAAAATGCTAAAGTCAGCTGTATATAACTAAGTTAACGTTTTCGAAACGGCACACATATATTCATCTGCAGCACTCCCTATCTTACCAAGATACTACACTCGGACAATTTAAGATACACCAGTTACTGTCTTCAAGACAGAACACTAATATGTACTGGCAGTGATCCCTGTATTACTCAGCTGGCAGCGCTCTGATATGTACCCACTGCGCCAGGATAATCGAAGGATCGAATAAAAGGATAAACGTTACATGTGTAAGTTCTATAGGGCGGCATAAGCAAACTTAAAAAAAAAAAAAAAAAAAAGTGCAAATAGTGTGAGGGATGGAGTGGAGTAAAGGGGTGATAGGGTCTTGTACAAATGAAGATCAGGAAAAATACGTCCAACTGCAACGAATCCACCCTTTACTTGAAGGGGGGCAAAGGATAGTGTGAAGAGGGCTAAAAAAAAGTTCTCTGTCACAACTACATAAATCTTACTAATATATAAAGCAAAGTCGCTAAAACCATTGTAATATCTAACCACGAAGACTACTCAACCGATTTGGCTGAAATTTTGTATGCTGGTTCTGGAAACTTTGTAGATGGTTTTAGTATAGTTTTAATCTTAAAAAAATGAATGACAAAAGCAATAATTAAGCTTAAAGTATTAAAAAAATACGCTAGCTTTGCACTTTAGTTCAGTCGAATCCTCTAGATGGCGTCGAAGTTAAATCGAAATAATCTGCAATTGAATTAAATAAATGTGGTTACAATAGAAAATAACAGAGTGCCACAGTCCATCATCAGCAGTGCACAAAGCATAGAGCTCGAAGTCATGCAGCTGGGGATCCTGGCTATAGACAAAACTGTTCTCTAATGGACAAGCAATGTACGTCGAGCTCCATCCTGATTAACCATGATTGACGAGTAGCCACCAATAATAAGACGTTTTAAACGCTAACATCTCCGGGAAAATACCAGGAGGCGTCTAGCTAGAACACACTCTCCACTAGCAAATTGGGGTCTTATGGTCATTTTTCTAACCAACCTGGTGGTGCTACCAGAGCAGATTATATTACAATAGCAAGCCGGGGAGAGCAACCTTGAGTTCGGGCAGCCACAACAGCTTCCTCACTGGTTCGTAGAAATGGCATGTCCACAGAAAAGGTATTCTCCAGGCCCACTTTCCTTACGACCAATAAGCGATTGATTATCCGAAGAATGACCGAAAGGCGAGATATTATTTGGTAAATGGCGTACTTTCCTCCAGCACGGTCTCTATACGCAGGGACTCCAAGGGTTAGAATCAAGCTACCCACTCAGCCAGCTCTCCATCATTAAGAATAATAATAAAGAATGGCTAGATCACTACTGGTATTTACATATGTACTTACATAACCATCATAAGTATTTACGTTTTCTACGTAACCATCAATCTCATCGGTTCTGATTAGGACCACCTAACATTAAACTATCTTGCCAACAAATATATGTTTACTACCATTTCCGGCAACGATTCGTCGACTAAAAGACTGTATAAAGCTGGCTACTGTTATACCAAGTCTTAAGACGTCACAAGTGGAGTTGCTCGTTGCAGCTTGATCAAACGAGACAGTTTCGAACAGGCAAGCATTACGAATCAATGTCCTCACCTTAGATTACCAAAACGACTGAGCTTAGTAAAAAAAAAGTGCTTTATTACCAACGTCTTCAGCGTAATACCAGGAGACGTTGGGAAAGAGCTCTACAATTAGCTTTAACACTTCAGACGTAGCAGTTTTCTCACGGTCAGTCTGGTGCTACAACAGCAGGCCAGAGAAGATCACCTTTAGGTTTCTAGGCAGTCAGGTTTGCTGGAAACTTCAGTCAAAAAAGAGTTTAGCTCACCGGTCCTTTTTAGGGCCATTAGACATCAAACTACCTTACCAACAAATACATTACGACCTAAGAAAGTTGACAAAAAACAGTCTTTAGGGCTCAAAGAAGTTTAACCTATGCCTATAGTCACAAGAGAGCGAATTGGAAGGAAAAGTTCTAATGCTTAAAATGTTTATAATTTTTAGCGCCAAGAAACTGACGCAGAACATTTATCGAAATTGAGATAGTAGCGTCAAAATTGACAAATAAAGAATTCATTATGTGAGAAATTACCTTTCCATCATAACCCTAACAGTAATCACTTAAATCTTCCAGATTTTTAAATAGGTAGAATAATGTGTGTTTGTACTCATTGTGGCAATGAAAAATGAAGAGATTAAGCTCCAGGACGTTGTTGCTTTAGTAAGAAAGTTATAAGATTGGAAAAAACAATTTTTAAATCATATATTTTTTGTCAGTTTTAAATGTTTATAGTTATGATAAATATCCCTTTTCATTTATTATAACGTGAGAAAGTGCAAATCAACAGATCTGTAGAGCTAGCAACTATTTCATTGTGTAAGGAACGCACGGTACTTCTCAGCATAATTATGTTTTTCATATTTTGATAGCTTATTAATTGAAAGAATAAATTACATGGATTCCAAATAAACATGTTTTTAATAAGAAGATTTTCGTTTTGAGATGTGTCACAAATAAATGTAAAATTTTTAACTGAAAACAATTCCACTGGAAAACAGACAAAAATTGCACGCGTTCAAACGAGTTCAATTTCACAAAAAAGAAAAAGGTTAACAATGGTTAGAAATGCAAATAAATAATAACTTCACAGTCAACATCTAATATGATCATCCTTGCTTTAGATAAAACGGAAGTTTGGAGCTCGTTGAGGTATCATCCAAATACAGATTCAAAAAAAAAATATTTTATAGGTCCATAGCTGTATTAAAGAACTTATAGCACTTTTCTCTAAACAAGATATCAAGGGTTGACCGGCATGGGAATTCGATTCCCACGTATTTCTATACTTCATTCTATAGATAGATAGATCATAGATAGAAGTCTGTTATTCTGTGATTTCTCTAGCTGACAATATTTTTTTTTGGTAAAGTACGTCTTATCATTTGGAATAGGGTCAAAATGTAGTATACCATACAGTATAGTGAAGATGAGTGTTTTGTACAGTAAATTGACTTACCTTTGAATTAGAGCTTGCTATTTTTTGAGATGTTTTCTCTGTATCAGATAGTGAAACGTGGCCATCGCATACAATACTGGTTTTGTAATCAGGGTGCTTTCGGCTGGAAAGCAGACCATGTGGCATATATTCCTACAACAATTAATTATAAAAAATAGACAAAATCAAAACATTAACAAGGGTGTAATCATAAAAAAATAAAAACTAGACAAGTTGTTTGGTATGACTTTGGCCGTTATTTTTTAAAGTGTGTTTTACGCATTCATAGGCGATTATAAATTAGAACTTACAAACAGAATTTGTATCGCAATAAGACAATGGATAATTTTCTTCTAATTATAAAAAATTTTTGTAATTTTTCTACATAACATCGTGTTATTTACGCACAAAACTAAAGGGTTACGCATATCATCCATAATACTGCAATACTCACTAACAAAAGTTAAACATAGCTGACTGCCTAAAAATACTTTAAACAATAAAAGACTTCTTCTAGTAAAAAGAGCACATCCAAACTCATACTAACTTTTGATAATTTAGTTTAAAAAATGCACTGACTACATCTTCACAACCCACAGTCTAAGATGTTCGGGGAACATTTTTTAAGGGGGCTCCTACGACTACTGCTGAGGTCAAAGACAAACAAAAAATAAAGTTTTGTTTTTTAATAAACAAATGTGTCTGAAAATCATTATTTATTTATTACATATTTTTAATAACGTATAAAGTGGGAAAAATGATATTTATGTGTGTAGTTTAACTATGTACAAAAAATTAATTATTGTTTTGACCAGTCTAGTGCATACAAGGGTACACTGGTACACCACCTGTGTTGGTGTAGTATAGCGATGTAGTATTTAGGTATATGGTATATATATGTCGTGTTTGCATGCCTTTCTGCTATTACTCTACCTCTATGGTGTTTAGTATCTGTATGTCATTAACATCATTTAATTGATAAACAATGGATGACGGTCCTTCTAATCCACCTAAAAAAAAGAGAATACCACGCACATAGAGTCTCAAGAGGATGGAGGAAAGGCAAGTTCATGAAAAAAAGTATGTAACAAAATATGAGAAAAAAAAGGCACTCAAGAGGTTATACCAGGTAGTCATTGCAAAAATATATATTTTCCAGGATTGTTGAAATAATATATAAAAATATTTAGAAGCGTTAAAATATACAAAAAAGTTTATATTTATCTAATTCCATACTCCTTATTCAATAAAAATAATGCTAGGTACATACAAACTTCAAGCTATACGAATCTCAACTTTTTGAAAACTCGCGCGATTAAGTGAACAAGTACGTCTGCTACCCACGTGACCTCCTGACCTCCCGGACACTACTTATTTATTTCCATCACAAATATCTCGCTAAAATGATCCTTTATCCACAATTTTTAATACAGCATATTACAGAGGAAGAATTCATCTACAAAGCGTATATATTTAGTCTGCTGGGACATTTAATTTAGGTTTATTACAAACGAAAACAAATTGTTTTTCACGCTGCCCCATAGAAACACGTGCTAATAGTTACAACTTTGAGCTCAGATTTCTCAATATTTTGACCCATTCGAAATATAATTTAGACCACCATTAAATTCAGTAGACTTTTATTTACATGAAATAATATTTCTCTGTTTGGGGACTTTCGTGAAGGAGCCCCCTTAAATCAACAATTACTGAAAAAAAGAATTTTTCTTCACTTTTAGTAGAATATCATACGTCATAATTTTTTATTGCATTAACTTTATCCAGAATAAGAAAGGCTACATGCTTGAAAATTAAAAAAAAGTACTGCTCTTGACGATATAAATAAGTGCTGCAAATCGGTGTTAAACTTGATAAATAATAAGCGAACGAGTTTTCTAACTTCATTACATCCAAAATGCGTCATTTTTTAAAATTAACTTATTCTACTGGAATTAAGCCAGAAAATTAAAAAATTCCTTTGAATTTAATTTCTTTATGAAATTGAAAAAAAAAATTGATGTTGGCTAATTAAATACAAGTTTTTTTGATATCACCACTTTTTTGAACATCTTTTTGAACATCAGGATAGTCTGTACGTTCTGTTTCTTCAAGTTAAATACTGTTTCGCCCCACACCCTAAAAGCCACGAGCATTTTCAATCAAAGACCTGGTTTACTCGGTAAGCATGTGATTTTTTTTATGTTATTTACGCTACAACATTAACATGTTTGACGAATTCGGAATGTGTCATTCTCCACGAGAGCTTATAATAATAATAATAGTAATGATAATAATAATANGTCGTAACTAAATGGCAAGACGAAGTAGCGGAAAGACAAAGTCAATATCGGCTGAGCTGCAATAATAATAATAATAATAATAGTCCTTGGGCTACGCCAGTCAGCCTATGGGGCACGTGCTCTCCGGGTAGCAGATGGAGGCAAGCTTTCCGTGCGTATATGGTTCCAAGGCTCTGCAGCTGTCAGGGCTTGTATCCGTGGGTGGTTGGAAGAAAATAAAAGTTTTCATGGACTAACACGCCGAAAAGAAGCCCCCGTAAAAAAATCAAGAGTAGCTCCCCGAATGAAATGTACAATGGGTAACGCTGATGAAAACTTAGTACCCCAAGTGGTAACCTCTCTGAGAAAATCCACCACCAGTTCTGACCTGGTAGGACCCCAGGTGACTGGTGTAAGCCTCACCAATTCTGGGGGACGCCGGAAAGGCATCCACAACGAAAGCAAGAAGATAACCTCTGACAAAAAAATACTCACAGAAGGGCTTAATATTCCTGCCCAAGCATGGACGAGACAGGCTGCTAAGAACTGGAAGCAAAGCAAGTGACCTCAATGCTGCTAGCTTTTTCAGCAATAACATCAAGATGGATCTGGAACATACCAGGAACTTAAGATCAGAACTTACTATGGAGCAGACAAAGAAAGATACCTTATTCACAAAACTCGAGGAAATAATCAAAGATATGACGGAAGCAGCAACAACGACGTATACAAAAACAGCAATGCCGATAAAAAAGGTATGAAAGTGGCTTGAAACCTTCTGCGTAACTTTAATAAGAGCCTTAGAGGGACAAAGAAAAAAATAAAAAACCTCCTAGAACAAGGTGATTATAATCTAACGAGAAAGATGTACAGATCAGCAAGACGAAAGAGAATCACACGCTCTATTGAACCTAAATTAGTGAAAAGCACGCTGACAGGCAAGCAAAATAGAAGTCTGGAAGATCTCAATGAGACCCCTAATCCCCCGTCTAAAAAAAGAAGCAACATCTGGTAAATCCAGAACTTGTCCTTAAGATAGGAATCAATGGCAGTAACAAAGGCAAACGAGATGATGCCAAACACAGGAGAAGAAAATTCTTGTTGAGGTCGCAGATGGGCAAAGCTTTGCCAAGGTTCTAAAGAAGATAAGGACTGATTTCAAGCCATAAGAGGCTGAGACCATAGTCAAAGAAGTCACTACGAGTAAAAAGGGAGATCTTCTTCTTAAAATAAAAGGAGTATGGGACAGAGGGGTCTTTCTTAGCAGTACAGTTAACACCATAGAAGGTCTAGGATCGGTTAAATCATATGAGAAAAAAGTAACGCTCCAAATTCAGGATTTGGATCTGATTACCAGGAAGACTGACGTCGAACTTGCATTGAGTAGAACCCCTGGTTATTCGCTACAGATAAGAGCAGTGACGCTGCTAGGAGTAAATAAGAGAGGCCAAAGGTAGCTTTAGTGAATACTGGAGAGACTGATGACAAATCTATAGAAAAAATGAGGAGATTCTTAATAGGCTTCACAAGCTGCCAAGTGAGAAGACGGGTTGAAGTCCTCAGATGCTACCAGTGTCTGGGGTATGGACACATAGGTCGAAGCTATGCTTTCGATGTGTCAGCTGCAATCCCCGTAAAAAAGATTGCAAGGAGAAGGCCTGATTTTTCGCTTGCGGAACAAAAGGTGCCAAACATGGAGCAGGTAGCGATAGCTACCCAGCATTTAGAAAGGCACTAGAAGAGGCCAAAAGTAAGGCGCCTACTAGACGCAGATAGAGTTTAAGAGGATGTAAGCTAGATAACTATTGCAGACCCAAGCTGTACTGACTTACCAGAGCCATCAGCAAGGAGAAGCAACGAAAATCGATGTTTCTGCAAAACAGCAGACGACCAGACGGAATAAAGAGAAGGCAACATTACGACGGTACCAACACTGCGATGGAAGGCCACGTCAATGGTCAACACTCCGTGACCCTGGCTCGAAGTATTAATGCGAAAGCGGATTACAAGCCAGGTGTCCTAGAAGATAGGTTTTGCCAGTTTAGTGGGTATTTAGTCATTATCGCGAACAACACTGTACCGAGGAATAAGCATTTATAGACTCACTTTGAGTCCTACTCAAGGAAGGGGTTCGTACCCCCTTCTATCATGCATTAAGCATTCTAGATGACCTCGGATGGACAAAATAATAATTATAATAATAATAATAATAATAATGATAACAAAAATAATAAAAATAATAATAATACTCAAGTGTAAGGGTTAAGATTTTGCGTGCTTTGACAAGTATTATTCATAAATAACAGAGTTATAGCTAATGTAGATGTTTTTAAGCGTGAGCTGAGAAAACACCGAGCTCAAGCAGGAGAGTCATTTCGTAAAAATAATGTTTTGTAAGCGTATAAGGCAGCTGGAGACTGACAACAACAGCCTCAAGGAAAGCGTTAAAGGATACATACATACATGGTACTGTAGTAAACAAAAGCATTGTGACGTTCAAACCAAGGAGCTGGGCCACAGGAGAGGTTACTTAATTCCAACACAGACGATATTAATACAAAACTAGTTTAAGGTCTACTAGAGCATTAAGAATCATTAAAAATTGAGAATCCGTGTGAACTTCAAAAAAGATAGAAAGATATATTTCTCCTCTAAGTGTCAGGTATGGTCAAAAACTCCCACTGGTTGAGAGGGCATAAGCGGGGCGCGTAGGAGCATAATGGGAGGCTTGAGTTCGACCATGAGTTGAGTTTGGTAAAATATTTTACTAATATTTATAGAAGACTTTGACTTAGCTGAGGCACTGATTCGAGCTTGCATGAAATAGAGTAATAGAAAGTTTTGTGCGAATTATGGGAGTTTCCAAGATTCATT